CTGCAGGCCCTACGGCTAATACTTTCCGAGATATAGCCGAGAGCTATTCTTAGTGGGACACCCTGTAGAATATAGAAGACATAGTACTATAGGTTGTCTTTAGAATATACAAGATACATTTTTGCAAAGATGGAAGTACCTATATTTTATGTATATCCTGATCGTAATCTACTTTTATTAATAAACTAGAAATAAACTAAAACACATATACAAGTTGTCTCAACATGTGAACATGGGATGTTTGAGGGGAATGAGGTTTAGGATGCCTACGTTTTGCTAAGATTTGACTTCAATAACAATGACTCACATAAAACAAGAAAAAGTACGGGAAAGGTAAAAACCACCTTCACTCCTACAGAAATTTTATTAGAAATATTTTCCAACTCCACTGATGACTGATTTTTTCTTTGTCAAATGGCCCTTCTAGTATTTACAAAAATTTTAATTTCTTGAAAAATTTCTTCCGTGGACATAGAACAACTACGTATTTTTTGAATCATAATATAAGTTAATTGGACACGATTTACATCTGTACAAATGTGCTTCGTTTCTTCGTTATTTTTCGTCGATTGATACCCTAAGTATCAATCAAAAATAAATCATATAAGCTTATTCTCAAATCTAATTTGTGATACTAACAAAACATTCCCTATTTTCGATAACTCGAGTATTAGCGTATTCTAGATTTTATGCTTCTGCATAGGCTTGATATGCCAAGAAAAAATTTTTGCTTAGTCAGTTCAAAAAAAAATTCTGAAGTAGGCGCGGTGTCGTTTTTCTACAAGAGACAAAAATGTAGTAAATACTAGAAGGACCATTTTACAAAAAAATCAGTTCTACTAAAATTTATGTAGGGGTAGGGGTAGTTTTCACTCTTCCCGTACATTTTTTTTTAATTTTTGTGTAAATAAAATGTTAAAGCACCTAGAAAAACATAGGAACTCCAAATCTCATTTAAATTGGAATATCAGTTCTTAAAATATCTTAAAAAGGTGTTTTTTTTTTAAAGCTGGGTACCCTCTAGCTGACAAAACGAAGCACCTTTGCATAGAGGTAAATTGCAGAGTAACGATTGTTAATTATTATCTGCGATAGATATTCTTATTTTTTTTTTCTGCAAAATATACCACCTCCGTCTTTTAGGGAGGATTTATTTTGTTTTTGTGCTCAAGTTATGATTGTAGAAACCCCTGTTTTTAATTTCCAGAATGCTCTCGAGGCGCTGCTAATTCTGTGCTGAACTGTGAGTGGATATCGGTCTTTTCCGAGATCAAACTGCCGAGGTAATTGAATTCCGCCACATATTCCAATGTTCGATTAGTAATTAGATGAAAAGAATCCATCTAGATGGAAAGGAAATACTGCCATCACAGGAAATGAAATATCTGGGAATAACCCTGGAACTTCTCTGGAACAGGTATATTAAGAACATTACCAGCAAAGCCACAAAGGCTCTCATGATATGCAGAAGACTGGCGGGAAATAGGTGGGGCTGCGCCCCTAACATTTTGCGCTGGATGTATACCATGATAGTAAGACCCATGATTACTTATGGAGCAGTTGCTTGGTATACAAAACTAGAGCAACGTACAGCAAGGCAAAACCTGTGTACCAAAACCAAAAAGTACAGCGACTGGCATGTATCTGCATCACAGGTGCCATGAGAACATGTCCAACAGCAGCAATGGAGGTCATTCTAGACCTAACACCACTGCACATTGTCGTCGGTAGATATGCCAATGCGACAATGATTAGAATGGTCATTGACGGGAACAGTACTGGGAGAATTTTCAGGTCAGGGGCTTGGAACACCCTCAAAAAGAAAATTCCCTCACTCCCAGTGGATGACATACCAAGAATTTACAACTTTGAGAAACACCTCACTGTAGTATTGAGTAATAAGAAGGATTGGAAGAAAGAAACGCTTAATCAGCATATAAAAGACCATACCATCACGTGGTATACTGATGCTTCCAAAACCAAAGCAGGGACAGGGATAGGAGTATTTGGGCCGAAAACTAAATACTCCGAACCAATGGGCATCTACCCCAGTATCCTTCAGGCAGAAATTTGCGCTATCGAAAGATGCGTACAATTTATCTTAGATAGGAACTACCGAAAACAGGAAATTGCCATCCTATCCGATAGTCAAGCAGCACTTAACGCGATCAACTCAGTAACCATCAATTCGAAGTTGGTCAAAGAATGCCTAGAGAAGCTCAACAAATTAGGCAAAGAAAATAAAGTCCTCCTACTCTGGGTGCCTGCTCACCAAGGGATAGAAGGCAATGAAAAAGCAAATGATCTAGCTAGGAAAGGAGCGAACACTCCACTAACTGGACCAGAACCGTTCTGTTTTCCAAACGGGAACCAACTGAAAGCGGAACTGAAGAATCTCGAAGACTCCATCCGTAACTTGGAATGGGTGTCCTTCAACGGTCTAAGACACTCGAAAAAGTTCCTCAGAACTTATGACCGAGAAAAATCAAAGGTTTTCCTTGATTTAAGTAAAAACAATCTTCGGATTGTCACGGGGTTTCTAACAGGACACTGTCTCCTCAACAAACACCTCAGTAGGCTGAAGCTGAGAAACAGCGGAGAATGCAGATTCTGTGGGGAAAATGGGGAAACACCAGAAAACCTTATCACTGAGTGCGCCGAGACGACGACCATTCGTGCCATGAACGTTGGTACGTCTGATGTCGAGGATGGAGAGCTGGCTCACAGAGGCCAGCCGTCTCAGATATTGGCTTTTGTTAAAGCCCTGAGACTGTATGATGAGTTATAACTCGTTATAACTCAAGAAAGGGGAACACAATAGATCTATAAGGTCGCGGTGATTAACTCCCCTCCTAAACATTCTACATTCCAATGTTCAGTTCTTCTCCGATTTTTATAACATTGTTGTGATTTTCCTGGGTAGTGCACAATGTGCACATGATTTTAGTTTTATCGATATTCAGCTTACGGCCCAAAGTCTCGTATATCCAGGTATATGTGTTCAGCATTTCTTGTAATTGCTGTAACGTTTTTGCAACTACAGCGCAGTCATCCGCGTGTTGAAGTTCTGTTATAAAGTTTATACGTGTTTTGGCGCTAAGTCACATTATGTTGAAACCGTTCTATTTCCTGCAATTTGTACTATAATAGAAAGCACTGCCATGAATATGTTGAATAGGAGGACTAAGGCTCATCCCTGCCTAAGTCCTGTATTTATTACGAACGGATCGCTCAGTGATCCTTGACTTGTTGTTGGTATATGGAAGCTTTTACACACTGAAAGAAATTTATTGGGTACCCCGAACTTTTGAAATATTGCCCAATGGGCATCTCTATTTACAGAGCCGAAGACTTTTGTTAGGCCGATGAATGCAACATAAAGGTTGCTCTTGCTCGTCTTTTACATTTTTTTGTAGTTGGCGGATGGAGAATATGGAATCAACGGTACCGCGGTTTGCGAAATGCGAAAGTCCGTTTGTTACTCTGGGAGGATTTTTCTATATGTGGGTGCAAGCGGTTTGACATAATTTTTACAAGAACTTTTCCTCCGATAGCCAGTAGTGAAATTTTCCGGTAGTTTCCACAATCTGCTATGGGATTCTGTAAGCTCATAATAAAACATTTCTGGCTAGTGACTCATATTCTTATAATATTTTTAGGATGTATAATATAATTTTCTCCAATTTACGAAATTGCCCGACTGATATTTTTATTGATTTTCATCCCAACCAATCAAAAAATTTCTCGAAATTTATTCGGAAACTGTCATGACCCGAAAGCGGTGTTCGGCCAGATTCGGCAAGAGAGATGTTAAAAGGTCTTGCTAGAGGGATGGTAAAATTTAAAAATATATCGATATCGATACATTTATATATTATGTTCCTTTAATTTTCGATTTTCTACGTAAAATAAAAAATAAAATATTATACTTATATCACTAGAGCGTTTTATATATCGACTTTCTTACACAGTAGAATCGAAATAAAAAGAGCTCAAATTACGTTGGAAATGGTCGATGACATTCACAATATAATTTTACGTATAAAATATCAATCATTAATGTTATGGTAACTTGACTAACTTGATACCGTCTTTTCGAGGAATTTTTATATTTTTCAGCAAGCATATATTTTTCTATGCAAAACATTGAGGAGTATTTCGATAAATTATAAAATATATATCGATATTTTACTACCGTCCCTAAACTCAATTTTTTTTTTCGTTTTTCCTAGTATTGTTTACTGTTTTTGTCGTTTTTTTAAATATATGTTAAATATTAATTTTATTTTACATAAATCATGGCTTTTGTTAAACATGTTCTAAAATTCAGTACAATAATTGTGGACTTTTTGGAAGCTGACAAGATAAAACTTATTTCAACAGGAGAAAATGCAGTTAAATCGCACCAAATGAAAAAGTTTTGATTTTGTGGCAAGCTTGGGACTATTAAAAGCCGAATTACATACATAACAGTACGAGAGATCGTATTTACGTATTTATACCTAATGTTCAGGTGGGTCAAAATACGAGTAAATGATAATTCAAAAAGTTTAACTTTTGCTTTACATATTTATAGGTAGAACTTGATGAAGATAGCTCAATTCATAGATGAGAATGTGAGAGGCCTATACTTATGCCATCACAAAACTGCCTTATGCACTTGTGGACATTACAATATATCAGTTACCAATATCGAAAGTCGATGGATTGCCAGGAAATAACAGAGGAAGAGACGAAAACAAATATCTGAAATCTACAACCTATTTTTTTTATAAATAATACACTTTTATGCCTTTAATTATAGTTTTAATTTTAATAAAAAACTTTCTAGCTAAACGTTTTTAATTTATTTTACCGAATAACATACATGGCTTAAAATGTTACTTATTACAATATTATATACAATGTTTCTCAATATTTTAAATAAGTTAGGTAGGTATCTAAAGTAAAATTAAATTACTTAAAACGACACAAATTTTCTTTTTTGTTAGTTTGATCATTTATTAATTATTCCAAAGTTAATAAATATACCCATAAAAAATATAAATTCACATTTAGTATAAAATTAAAGAATATAGCAATAAAAATATTGAGCAGTGGTTAGTCGTTGGCCAGGTGGAGACATATTACATCCAATTTGTTACACGAATGAGCTTTTTTTGAACACTTTCATTAGATGAATCATTTTCACAAATGGTTATAGATGATCTAAGGGATGGAATTTGTAGCCCAGAGATACTAGGTTGAGGTACATCTTTCTCTGTTTTTGATCTGAAATTTGATAGATATTACCTAATGTATATTTATTTATTCCATAATTAATTTCCAATGAAAGACTACATAATAAATACTACCTCTTATATATTGATCCACCTTCCAAGAAGTCAAAAGATTTTCCTGTGATATAACTGAATAATGTTGAAAGATTTTCTTTTTTCCCGTTCACATAATGACATCTAGAAATACGACAGTACTTGAATGAGAATTCTTCCCTGTCTTGACATCTAAAAATTAATTTCACATGTATTAAAATTATTGTACTTAAGTATCCAATAGTAAAGGCCCCTTCACTGATATAGTTTTTGCGTAATGAATGATATTACGTTACCTTCTGAATATATTTGTTCGATTCCACTTCATTTTCTACTGTGGAAATAAGTTTTGTCTCGTCAGCTTCCGAAAAGTAGTTCACAACTGTACTGAATTTCAGAACATGTTTAACAGAAGCCATGGTTTATCTAAAACAAAATGAACATTTAACAAAAACAGTGCACAAATACTATCATGAAAAACGAAAACTAAGCATTCTAACTTAACTTTATTTAAAAAAACAATTTTAATCTATCTCAATAAATTAATAAACTAATTTTACTTTGCTGAAAGTTTACCACTTAATATATCTACAAAATACTAATAATTACCTGTTTGATCTCCTCTAATTTTTGAGAAAAACACACAAATACAAAAAACGGTCCCAAAAAACTATAAGATAAGTTTTTCACTATAATTGACAGTGACAGTATTTTGTTTTCGTTCGTCGTTGTCAACATAATTATCGATTATATTTTAAAAAGCTAATATAAAAGTTAACATCAAAACTAGTTTTACTAGCACATGGAAACATTCGAAATTAAATAAAAGTAAAAATAGAAGAGAATAGGTTAAACCATAACCAAGAATTTCAATGTCAAAATTAACTAGACGATATTTTTGGGACCTATAGTATGATTATGGTATATTCCACTATAATATTTGCCCGAAGAAAACCGAGTAAGTATGAGTCACTAGCAATAATTTACTTTGGAAGCTTACAGAATCCCACCTCTGATGCACTTCCTTTGTTCTTAAGTCCTGAGGTATCTCTCCGTTTTCCCATATGACATCTAAGAGAGCCTTAACAATTTTCTATATCATTCCAAGGTCAGTAATTCTAAGTAGTATTTTTTTCGATTGTTTTCAATGTTCATTCTGTCATAAATACCGTCATGAAGATTACATAGAAAAGATCATGAAGTCACCAACTAATATTCAGGCATTAGAAGTTAAATTATTGTAAATCTAATCCTGCATATGTTATGCTAATACTCGCTACCTACTCGTACATACTGTAATACGAATGGAAATAAATCTGACAGCTTTTTGCCTGGAAAAATAAACAATGACAGAACGAAGAAAGAAAAGTGGGTGCGTACAGCCGCACCAGCTTCAGGTACTAAGACCTGAATTTCGATCAGTGCCTTGACCTGCTCCGCTTCGTTATTATTTTCGGCTGTCATCTATATGCAGATTTTTGGGTCTGTTTTGCATACAACTGATACCAATTTTGATTGGTGATTGTAATATTTATTTTTGCGGTTTAGTAATGCTGGCATTTGTCACAGCAAACTATGGTTATAATAACTTTAATTGACAATTTAATCCAATTATAATTGATTACGTATTAATTAATATATTGTTTCTGAGGCTGTTTATTGATCTGTTAGGTATGTGATCTATACAGGGTAGCTGGAACCTCTCATATATCGCGGAGGCTCCAAGAAGAACGACAGTTTGTATTGAAATAACATTTTCTGAGCATATTATGTATGTTAATTTAAAGCATTTTTTAAAAATACATAGTTCTAGAGTCCTATAGAGTGTCACCCAAATAAGTTACACATCAAAGTTGTGTTTTTGAGATGGAATACCCTAAAAATAATGATTGGTTTTTAGATTCTAGGAAAAAATAAAGGTGAGTTTTGTCAGAGAAGCATATGACTAAAATGCAAATTTTTTAACATAGGTAGTACCCTTGTGTAGTACTTAACATTTTTTGAAATATGAAGAATAAATTTTAAATATCAATAAAAAGCTACAGTTTACACGATATAGCCTCATATGTAGTTAAAATAACCATTGTACAGGGTGTCTCATGGTAAAAATCAATATTATAATGATAATACAGTCTCTCCGTTACTAGTGAAGAAGAAGGATGCGGTTTGCACAAACCTGTCTCACTTTTTTGTCAAACGGCCGTAAACAAAATATTAATATTCCTCTCCGTTTCTGAGCTACTGGGTCTTTTTAAAAATTTTGCAACCTGGGACACCTCCCCCCGTTGAATTGTTTCTTCTAGATTTTTTACCTACAATAAATACAGTAGCGTAGTCCGTTTTTCTACGAAAAAAATATTTTTGAAGATAGTAACTAAAGTTAGGTTTTTGTGAATGAATCTGCGCGCTGTATACTTATAAATCATACAACCTAGCCTGCTATGAGCTTCTCAAAAATATACCTATATTACCCTATATTTTTCACTATTCACTGCATTATTTAAAAGTTTTTATTAATGGATCATTTTTGTTATTAGCCCGTGATTGATCATAAAAGGAACAAAAAAAATATTAAAGGTATACGACTATCAGTCTCTTGTTTTATTGTTATATTGGAAACTACTTATGAATCTTTTGGGAACTACTTCTTCGTACTTCTTTATGAATCAAGAAAACTTAACACTTCTTATGGCTATTTGTAGTACCGGAACTTTTAGAACTAATTCACTTGAAATTATACTTTCAGCAAGTTAGGACTCCCGCTCACAACTTTGAAAATATTACAAAATTTTGAATGACTATTTCCCAAATCAATGAATTGCAGGGTTGGAAAAAATCATGATTTTTTTAAAAAAATCAGTTTTTTTTAATTTAAATCGGATTTTTTTTATTTAAATCAGATTTTTTCTATTTTTATTCAAAACAATATTTAAATCGGATTTCCAAATGACTAGGACTTATTTCCAATTAAAGCCCTATTCTAAATGGCTAAATCTTTATAACTCTGAGCGATACCGATAACATTAACAATTCTACGGCGCATGTCATTTTTCCACATCGGTCACCAATATACTCCGCAAAAAAGTCGCTCCCTTCAGATCAAAAGGATATTTTTTAAACGTCTCAAAAGTATTAATTTTTGTCATTTTAACGGCTAGGCATAAAAGTATAAAGCACTGTTACGCCTAAGCACAAAAGTGCAAAAATATATTATTAGACTGATATTGGGTGTTAAATTCAACGAGTAGTGTACAAATCGTTTCTCGATTACTGTTTGTATTAGTTGCAATGTTTGAAAATGATTAAAAAATTATTTGCAATGTTTTAAAAATATGGTGTTTTATTCGAAGTAAAAATGTACTTTTTGTGCCTCCTTGTAACGTCGGAATAGCTTTACAATGATCCTCAAAATGTACAGCATCTTAAAAAAAAGTATAATTTCTACTGTTAATAAAACAGCTGTTGTTCGGAATTAGTCTTAAGTCGAGAATGAAATTAATATTATCTAATGCCATAGTGTAAAGTACTTACTGCAAACCAAAATGTCGGTAAGAATTTGGAAACATACCAACGTTTCAAAAAAAAATATAAAACAACATATCGAGCAACATATATTCTGACAACGATTATAGATTTTCGGGAATGAAGATATGGTCTTTATATCAGCAGAACCTATAGTTCTGGCAATAGTCTGCGAATGATATGTATTCGAACAGCGAATTTTTGTCACTTATACATAAATTTTAAAATAAATCCCTGCGTTTAGCAGTCTTATGGATGGATTCACACGAAATTACTTCAAAAATCGGTTCAACATTTAAATTGATGAATAGTGTTAGTATTGTTATAAAAATAATATTTAAATATTCCGCCTTTACCATATGTAAAATAATATATAGTACACCATCCGTTTCCGGTAGATGTATGCGCAGGCATAAGGTACTGATGGTACGATATTGTAAATTCATTCTTTCTCTGAGCGTTGAAATAAAAGTATCAAATTTCAAACTGTGTTTTACTCAGCCTCAGTAAAGTTGGAATCACGTGGTCCAAGACACCACAATTGGCGACGAGGATTAAAAATTATTCTATTTTGTGTTGAAAACGAATATAGATCCGCGCGTTAAGAAGTGAACAGTAAAATGGCGGAAATCGGGCATCTCAGGGAATTTTCACCGATAAGTAGTGACTGGTCTATCTTCAAGGCCCGTTTGTTAAACTATTTCGCTGCAAACGGAATAAAAAAGAAGAGAAAGATGAAGACAGAATGAAGGCGATATTATTAAATACATGTGATGAAGAGGCATACAAATTAATATTCGATTTGGTAAGTCCTGAGAAACCGGAACAAAGGACATTTGGCCAGTTGATCAAGGTGTTCGACGAATATTTTAAACCGCAGCAGTCCGCATTCGCTTTAAGATACAAATTTTATGCAGCAAGGAAGGAATATGGAGAGACGGCAACTCAGTGGGCAGGCAGATTGCGAAGTCTGGCTGTAGGATGCGAGTTCGGAGCCGAGCTGGGAGTTTGCCTAAGAGATCGATTCATATTTGGGTTCGAAAAGGGACCAATTTTGGACCGTCTCATGGAGGAAAATATCGCTACGTCTTTTGAAGGGATAGTGAAAATTGCATCAGCAAAGATGGCGGCCAGAGAGGTGCAAGAATCGATGGTAAAACAGGAGCCCGTGAATTTCCTACGCAACAAGAAAGGCGACGCAGGTGCAAGAGGCGCGCGCAACCCGGATGTAGGAGGCAACTTTGGAACCACAAGACAGCAGTGGAACCCCCACCAACAGAAACGTCAAAGTCACAGCAGGGAGGCAGCCATGATGACAGCCATAAAATGTGACGTCTGCGGAAAAGGCAATCACCAAAAAGATAAGTGTTTTTATAAATCTTTAAATTGTTCCAAATGTAAAAAGAAAGGTCATTTAGCCGCAGTATGCAGGCAAAAATTTAGTAATAGGTATCATAATTTTATTGAAGAAAAATCCTCGGTAAATAATCAAAACAATGATGATATTTGTTTGTTTACATTAAGACAGCGAGATATTTTTAGATCAGAACCATTTAAAGTTAATATTGTACTGGAAAATAAAAACGTTCAATGTCAAATAAATACGGGCAGCGGAATTTCATGTTTTCTGAGGAATTTTATTTAAATAATTTTAAAATTTATCCTCTTCAAGGATCAAACAAAACATTTATTTTTTATAATGGGCAACAAGTGAAGCCATTGGGTGAACTTTATTTAGAAATAAGTTACAAAGGGAAAAAAGAAAATTTAACTTTTTACATTATGAAAAATGGAGGACCTCCGATATTAGGGCGTGATTTTTTAAATTTATACAATTTTAGTTTGAATGTCTTTAACATAAATAATGCTACTCAGCATTTGCATGATG